AAACTCGCGTAACAAAACAAAATATGCGTAATAAAACAAAAGTTTTTGTTACGAAGGTGCAGCTTATTTATCGAGTTGCACGAAAACTCTGAAGATAAATGTGTACCATCGTACAATATACAATAGTTCTTCGGAAAAACTTATCGCGACAAAACATATATAATAAGGCGGGCGACAGGATGATCGCACAATCTTTCTCCATAATGTTTATCGATCTCGACGCGAAAGGAAAAACCGTGCCATTGTCTCATGAGTCAGGAGTAAAGATTTTCACTCAGCAAAACTTTGTTTTTTTTTGTATCTTTCAAGAAAAAAGAAGACTTCCTATGAAGAAAGCATGGAGCATGTCTTCTTTGTTCGAACACTTTAGCAAAAGTTTCCAAGATCGAACCTTGTGCACGAGAAATGATCATTATGTTGAATCTTACTATTGTAAAATTTGCTAACGAATGTTCCTTAGTTGAGTACCTTCTATCAGTGTACGCCTCTCTGATATCAGATAATAGTTGTAAATGGGTCGTTTCCCCTTTCATTCCCGAATAAATAACGAAACACAATAACGCTTTAATTTAAATTGCCTCGAGAGAATCACATCTACGAGAAGTAAACTCATTAACAAGTTTCTATTCATGGAGAGTACTTTATAAAATTATCACTGCAATAAAAGCGACGTGAAAATGCTGCAAAATTGTACAACATTTAAAAAAAATTAATTAGAAAGTTACGATGGTGTGTATACATGATTTGTATCTTTAAATTGCATAATTATTTACAAAACATGATTCACGTTTAAATTAATCAGTCTTAGAAATGTAGCTTTCATTAAGTTCAATACAAAAGTTTCTGTGAAAATTTTCTGCGTGTTGAAATTAAACCGTAAGTATTAAAATATTATTTACTTTTTTAAAATATTATTTACTTTTATAATAAAATTTTATATAATAAAATTAAACTCATATATGTCATTGTCATGACATAATAAGAATTAATACCACATTTAAACATACCACATTTTAATATTATAATCAAACGTATTGAAAATATTTATAATTACACAGTTTTGGAAATATAAAAAATGTAATTTTTACATTTAGTAAAAAATTTCATATAAACATTTTTTTATATTACAACTGTATTATTTTATTACGATAGTAGAGAGATAGTAGAGAGGAAAAACCGGATTGTGTTTAAAAATATTATAAAATAATAATAAAATAAAAATGATGGCTTTTTTATTTCGCATGTTTATAACATGATAGTATAATATAATAAACAAAAAACAATGGTTTAGCTAGGAAGATTTAATATAATAAAAATTTTATTAACAATGTATGTCTAGTCTTTACTAATGAAAATTACATAAAATCGTCCGTGAAGGATACCATTCGAGAAAGAGCGAGATGAAAAAGAACTTTTTTCTACGAGAACAATCAGGATTGTCGTTCAGCGGCAATATGACATATGCGGAAGATTGTGGAGTGGACATTCCCGTGAGATTACCATCGCACATATTGCAAAATGATATGCAAATGGAAGGACTTGCGCTGCATGGAATCCCAACGGAAAAATGCATTTCATACATTTTTAATAATAAAGATATAGAACACATTAGTTATTTAAATGAAACTTTGGCAAACTCATGATAATTATATATTTTTTATTGTTATACACTTTTATCACAGTTATAAATTTTTAAATGTTTCTGTAAAAATAAGTGATATGCAATTGTAAATGCTTTGCAACTGAGCTAATTGCCGCTAATTTGCTACTAATGTATCATTAATTATCTTAATTAACAAGTTATTAAATTCTTCATGGATTTATTTCGGTATAATACAATATTAAGAAACGTATACGTATCACATACGTACGTGAAAGTAGTAAGATTTTCAAAGATCGAGAAGTACCCTTGGGAGATAGTGTCCGAGAAAAGAGTGCGATGAAAACAAGTGGCTGAGAAAAATCAAGAGAGCAGTTCGACAAGCGAGAGGAGAGTAGCCCGGCAATAAAACGCAAGCGGAAGATTGTAGAGTAAAGGCACTCTCTTGAGATTGCCAGTGCACATGCTCAATACTGATATCATAGAGAAATAGAGGAAAAACAAAGACTTCTTGGTATGTAGGCAGCTACGAAGATTGCAAAATGTCAAATCTTTTCAATTGATCTTCCTACTATCGATTACGTATATCACAAACACGATGAAGAAAACAAAATATTATCTCTTTTAGAGATTAAAAAAAAATTAAAAATTGATGTGTGTACGTGCATGTATATATTAATCTTTGCATTTATAAAAAATTAATAGCTAACAAAAACTTCCATTAATTTTCTTATTGATATCTGATATTGCATGAAATAGAATATTGGAATAAGAAAAGATATGTGGAATGCCTTTTTATGTATCATAGAATAGTTAGTAAAACAAATATAGTATAAAATATAATGTTTTTAGTCAAAATTAAATAAGAATAATATTAAGACAATATTTATAATCATGTATTCTTATATTTAAGATCATCTTAAAATTATATTCATAGCCATAAAAATTATCCAAGATAACCGTATAAGTTATCTTAGACGATTTTAAATATAAGCACAGACTATGAATACTAGCCATAAAATATACCATGAAACTCGATTTATATATATGTATACATATATTTATAAAAGGCTATTTAGAGTGTCGTGGATCGTTGAAACATTCGATCGCAGAAGACCGCAGAGGAGATTTAATGAGCTTCTATCGCTAGCGGAAGTGCAATTGCTGCACAAAAGTAAAATGTATGTGGCTTTAGCCAAGTCAAAGACGATTGTTTTGCTTTACCGCGTGTGAAGTATCGCAATTGGAACACATTGGTAAATATAGCGATTCACGATCAAGATAAATCTGTAATGTTATTACACGATATTGCGTTCTATCCTGCTTAAGCGCGTAATTTCGTAGTGGATGTACGCGATACGATGTGGGAGGAAAATCATTTTCAATATCCAATGATGACTACCATATATGTATAATACGCATTGCACTGTTTGGATTGCAAATTTCTGTTTCTGTTCCATTGCAATTTATACTCCATTTTATATTGTCAAAAAGAACAAATTTTGAAATATCGTTATTGTCGTGTTTGCCATATAATCACGGAATTCGTTACATTTTTTGCTGTTCAAATGCACATATGCAAATGTTGCATTTATGAAATATAGCGAAACGGAAGGAATTATTAAAATTGCACTCTTGGATAAATTAGAATATCTTATCGATTTGATAATTTGAAGTTTATATTGAATTCTTCGTAATGAAAATTTAGAGGACCTTGCAATTTCTAGAATTTTGATCTTAAATAGCTTATTGAAATTAAAATAAAACTAATTGAAATATCTAATAAATTAAAATAGAACTAAAACATAGAATATTTTTATTTATATATTTATTTATATATTTAAAAAAAATTCGATTATTAGAAGTTATCTAATTTTATTAATTAACCATCTAATCACACTTAATCACACTAATATAAAACTAAATCTTTGTAAATTGATGTCAAGTTTATAAAAAAAAAAATATCTACTTTTAATTTCTATATTACTGATATATAGCATGATAGGCAAATATGAAAGAATTATCCAAATTGCACTCTTAAATAAATTAAAATTAAAACATCTTATTGCTTTGATAATTTTGAATTTATGTTCAATCCTTTGCAGCAAAAAATTAGAGGATCAATACTATTAGCAATTTCTAGAAGTTTTGATCCTACGTAACTAAAATCTAACAAATCTAATAAATTAAAATAGAATTAATAAATATATAAAATAATATATAAAATATTCTTATCTATTTTGGAGAAATTCGATTATTTGAAATTATCTAATAATGTAGTAGTGATGAAGTTATCTAGTTTTGTTAATTAATTTTAATATATTTCCATCATATTAATATGAAATTAAATCTTCGTAAATTGATGTCAAATTTATGAAAAAATATATTTATTATTAATTTCCATATTTTACCGATATATATTAGCATGATAAGCAGATTATCGAGATGCGAGCAATAAAACGAGCGCCCCTTCCTATTGAATATAGAGATCATTAGCTGTACCGGAAAAGCGGTTCTCCAGAGAGAAGCTGGCAATTCCCCGAGATTTCCCGGCTCGATTTGAGAGATTATCATACAAGCTAGGCGTCTATTTATGCGGAACAAACGATGGTCCATGCGACGGACGTTGCCGGGCGGTTCTGATTGAAATGCGCCCAGTAATTTCCGGTTATTTGGCGCATACAGTTATGCTCGCGACGCGGTGCATTAGGCCGCCATGACGCCGGCAACGTTTGATATGGCGTGGAATGCGTAGTTCTACCATGGTCCATTTCCATCCGCTGCGTCCCGTATATCGACGTCGATCAACGTCGACGAAATCGTACGGAGGCTTACGCGATTACAGAGAGCTAATATTACGGGGCTTTCGATCCCGTGCAAAGAGAACTAATCTGCAAAATGATTATTTCAAATGCGCACCGTACGGATAGTTCGGATTAATTGACTACTCGATTACTTGAAATTAAAATAATTTTAAATCCTACTGAAAATTAATAATGACTACTTTTAAAGATTTTTCTTATTGTTTTTTAAAATTATTTTCTATTTAGAAATATTTTTGTATCAAATATTAAATATGATAATTAATAAATATGAAAAAAATAATTAATATGATATAATTATTAATAATGTAAATATTATTATTAATATTATATAATAATAAATATTATTATATAATATTATTATATTAATATTGTTTTTATTTCCATTTATTACTAGTTTTTGTACTAGTTTTATTTCGATATTAAATTTTACAACTGAGTATTTCATAAATTTTAGAAGACACGATTCTCAGTCTCAGGCTCTAAATAAATATAATTTCTGCTGTACATTATTTTCCAAGCGAGACGTTTAATTAAAGTTGTAGAAGGTAATGCTTCATCTTATCGAAATTACTTACGTTAATGAGATCCAGCTTCTCGTCGTCCAGCCTGCAACAAAAAATGAAAGACGGTCTTTTAGATGTAACGGAAGCTAACAATTTCCCGTCGACATTTCGTCGTTGACCGACGTCGAAATGCCGCTCGGAATAAACTGTAATAACATTAGAACTTGACAATGTACGAGGTGACTCGTTGACGACAGAAAACTATATTCCCCGGTCGTGCCAGTCCTCCAACCTACCAATTTCAAAAGTTCGTAGTAAACTGGTGACCAAAACTAATTTTCCAACTAATTTCCAAAATAGCAATCCCAAACGAGAAATCGCTCCCATGGATGACCGAGAGATTACGTTTGTAACACATGACGCGCGAAAATACACAAAATTGGCATTTTTCAACTTGTATACATATTATTTCTCATATCTTTTATAAATCTCATCTTTCATAAATCCATCCATAAACACTTCATTTCTAATTGGATTGTAACACACTCTATAAATTATAAACATAATTTTCAAAATCTCAATTGAGCTTAAAAAATTAATAAGCAATACTAATTCTAATAACAATAAAGATATTACCGATTTCTAATATTGAATCTGTCACTGCTAGATTACACACACACACACACACATATATATATATATATATATATATATATATATATATATATATCTCATTACATTTGTATAAACAAATGGCTTTAGAAATGATTATTACATCGATATCTGACTCTCATGAACAGAATTGTTACTATTGTCTTTTTGGCTATTTCATTTAAACCTGATCAAAGTTCGACTTCCGAGTTCCGTTAACCAAGACAGACGATGCGCGAGCGAAACCAAAATATATGTTGGGGCGAACCTTCTCCTTAACTGGTTAATTCCTCGATTAACATTTTAATTACCCGGTGCACGAGGCGAAAGTTTGAGCGAGCTGCCCCTAAGCTTCAACGAGGGAAGAAGATTAGAGTCTCGTTAGGATGGCACAAATTCCCCTGCTCTACTGCGCTTATCCCCCGCATTTCATCCTCAAGACTAATTTTCCTCGGCCTGATATGTGTTGAAGAAAATTATTCGTCGGCTTATTCGTCGGCGTCTATCTTCCGCCCGGAGAAACGTCGCGCAAAACGAGGCAGAAAACGGAGGATGTCAGATACTCTTGTGGACAAAGCGCAAAGGACTTTAATCTCGGTGAGGGGCAAAAAGGTGCGGTGTGTGCGACGATATGCGATTTCACGGTGAGTACTCTCGCGAGACGACGCTTTGTCAGGAGTTGACGAGCTGCCATTTTCCGCGCCGCGCGTTTCGCGAGTGACGGGCGATTAAAAATATT